ATCTTCACAATATGCTTTTCAGCCGGCCATTCTCATTCTTTTTTTTTTTTTTAAAGTCATGGCCCTAAATATAATATGAAAGAAATACAAGCCAAATCAGGACTGTAAAAGTTGCGTAACAAGCCTTATAAGATGGTGTGTGAAGAATTGTTTCCAGTCTCTGGCCATCTTCAAATGTGCCGGTGGGCGGGTGGGCGGGAAGCTATATGATCCCTGTTGAGAATGGCTGCTTTAAACCATTTCCCCACCTGTTCTGGGTATCAACGTAAATGCAAGCTGCTTCCAAAACTGGATCAGGAAAAAAAAGTTGTGTTTTTTTCCAGAGGGAAGAATCTTTATGATTTCTCTGTTTAGAGACACAGTATTTTGTTCAGAACATGTTTATGGATTCAGTTTTACTCATGAGAACAAAATGCAGAAACTGTGGGCTGAAAATCTAGTCTTTCTTTGAAAGACCCTTTACTTTTACTGACACTTTGAAACCCTCTCTTGCCCTAGCTGATTAGACTTTTTCCTCCACCTTAAGACAACACAGAGGGTAGCCTTACTTGACCAAACCTCTCTAGGCTTCAACTTAGCCAGCAATTTTTCTAGCCAAGTCCTATCTGGCTTCAGTCATCCAGTCCCCAGCTGGTTTCTCTAATACCCAAGCTCCCACTGGCTACTATCTGAATTGACTGCATCCAGCTACTTTCCTAAACCAGTCCTGCTTTACTAAAGAACCCAGATGTAAACCTTATGTGGCAGTTAAACTGTCCATTGTTGTTGTTTAGTCGTTTAGTTGTGTCCGACTCTTCGTGACCCCATGGACCAGAGCACGCCAGGCCCTCCTGTCTTCCACTGCCTCCCAGAGTTGGGTCAAATTCATGTTGGTCGCTTCGGTGACACTCTCCATCCATCTCATCCTCGGTCATCCCCTTCTCCTCTTGCCTTCACACTTTCCTAACATTAGGGTCTTTTCCAGGGAGTTTTCTCATGAGATGGCCAAAGGATTGGAGCCTCAGCTTCAGGATCTGTCCTTCCATTGAGCACTCGGGATTTACTTCCTTCAGAATGGATAGGTTTGTTCTCCTTGCAGTCCAGGGGACTCTGAAAAGTCACCTCCAGCACTACCACCAGTCTGTTTCCAGACTGTCCATTAGATATGGGCTATCCATATTCATATCCCTGGGGATACAAATGTGAATCATGCCAACTCAGTTGCCACGGAGACTATTTCCCTTCCCCCAGAACCAGCCGGTCCAGTCACTATATGCTGCACAGTGCTCAGCTCTGTCATTGGCATTGCACCAATGACAGAATGAGCCCAGAGAGCTCTTCCCCACCTCCCTGTGCAGCTGATCACTCATTGGCTGAGCAGGGAGATTCCCCATCCTGCCTCCTCACCAGAGTGGTCGGCTGCCCGGGGAGGCAGGGAAGAGCTGGGTGGGCTCGTTCCATGATTGGCATGATGATGAAGACGGGGCCAAGTGCCACGTGGTAAACAGTGAGTGGGGGGAAGGAATGGGCTTCCATGGCACCTGTGGTGCTGCAATATGAATAGGTCATACCTACTGCCCATGTATTTGAAGGGTTTAACCATCTAGAAGTTTGCTCCGGCTTAACATGATGTCTCTATACTGCACCACTGATGTGGTTCACATAAAAAATGTTCAGTTATCTCAGGAAGGTGAAGGGTTTAACCATCTAGAAGTTTGCTCTGGCTTAACATAATGTCTCTATACTGCACCCTGATGTGGTTCACATAAAAAATGTTCAATTATCTCAAGAAGTCAGTGCTCAGCTCTGTCATTGGCATTGCACCAATGACAGAATGAGCCCAGAGAGCTCTTCCCCACCTCCCTGTGCAGCTGATCACTCATTGGCTGAGCAGGGAGATTCCCCATCCTGCCTCCTCACCAGAGTGGTCGGCTGCCCGGGGAGGCAGGGAAGAGCTGGGTGGGCTCCTTCCATGATTGGCATGATGATGAAGACGGGGCCAAGTGCCACGTGGTAAACAGTGAGTGGGGGGAAGGAATGGGCTTCCATGGCACCTGTGGTGCTGCAATATGAATAGGTCATACCTACTGCCCATGTATTTGAAGGGTTTAACCATCTAGAAGTTTGCTCCGGCTTAACATGATGTCTCTATACTGCACCACTGATGTGGTTCACATAAAAAATGTTCAGTTATCTCAGGAAGGTGTGTTTCATTGTCCACACATCATACCATGTCTTTTCTCTATCACCATCCTTGGCAATTTCTCCCACCTTTTTACCTCCCCTTTTGGCAGCATTGAGAACCCTTCTTCTTCTTCTTCTTCTTCTTCTTCTTCTTCTTCTTCTTCTTCTTCTTCTTCTTCTTCTTCTTCTTCTTCTTCTTCTTCTTCTTCTTCTTCTTCTTCTTCTTCTTCTTCATGTGAAATAGTGCTGAATTGACAAGACACAGCAAGTATTTCAAATAGTATTGTATCAGAATAATGCTGTAGCACTCTAGAAGGATTTTTTTTACAAAGACATTATAAAACTTGCATTGCAGTTGTATTCTTTTCCAGTGCAAGGAGTAGCCAGGTGAAAAGAGTAGGGTTCACCCCCCCCCTACACACAAACACCCTGCCCCACTCTGTGCATCATCAGTGATGTCATCTGGAAGGCCCATTGATGGCACTAAAGGAGTGATGTAGGTGATCTCACAAGCCAAAATAATATGACTGGGAATGCTGGTTTTTTAAAAAACCACCCAGAAGCCCTGCTGAACAAACAAAATACAGTGCATACTCATGTGAAAGATGGATCTACTTGTAATTAGCACTAATGACATGTAGTAAATGGAATAAAATCAAAAGTGAGAAGAAAGGCACCAATGGTAGGAGAAATACGTGTCTTTCTATTACCTGAGTGCTTGTGGATTTGCTGTGATGTAATTGGCTAAGATGTCTTTAGGAAGCTGATCAATTTACCTGCCTAGACAGCACCCTCATTCTCTGTGGTGTTTACTTTCAAACAAGTATACTTAAGGTTCTGTTTGTCATTTATTCCGTGTGTCAACTGCAGGCAGTTCACTGACTTCTGGAGCTGGTATCAGTGAAGTTGTTATACACCATGTTGTGTGATTATCCTAACACACATCAATACCTGTCAATCCACTTTGCTTAACTTGATACTCTCAGGCTGCAAGGAAGCCATTGCTTGCTCTCTTTCTTCTCCGTGTCTTGCCTGGGGCCGCTGGATCACGATTGGTTTGCTATGTATTTGTGTGAGGAAACCCAGGGAAAGATGCCCTAATTTGTCCCTGTCAGAAATGTTGCAGCATAACATATGACAGGGAAATATCTACAGGTGGATCGTCAATCGTACAGCTGCAAATGAGGGAAACACTGAACGGCGCTGACATCCTCAGTTGATTGAAATGGTTTAAAATGAGCCAGCATTGTTTTATTGTCCCCACGCCGTCTCTAGCTACTGGGTGGGATATAAATATTTATTAAGGGGATGAGAAAATTAATGATATATGAAAAAGTATTTAATAAAGCAATATGTTAAAATGAAATCTGTCATTGCCTTGCGGATGGGTTTCCTTTGGGGTAGCAAGAACATGCAAAATCTCCAGACGACAAGACCAGGAATCCAGAAACTACAGTAGAACCACTGTATCTGCGGTTCCAAACCTCCACCCACGAGTGCCGAAAACGGTGGATAATAGTGAACCCTGCATATAGCACAGCCTCTGGTTCCTTCTAGTGGGCATTTCTGCTAATTATACAATGGAAATATATACTGTATTTTTCTGTATACAAGACGCCCCTATGTATAAGACACCCCCCACTTTTCTAATCCAAAATTAAGAAAAATAAGTGAGGCTTAGGAAGTGTAGGGGGAAAGGGATCAAAGTGCTGCAGGATCACTTTGATCCCTGCTTTCCCCTCCACTTGTTTTTGTTCTTGCTTAGTTCCGTGTATAAGACGGAAGTTGTGAGCCGCCCAGAGTAGACTATGTCTAGATGGGCGGCATATAAATAAATACAGAGACTGTATTTGGTACAGAGACTGCCTTGGTCGCCCTGTACGATGAC